TTCTTCTTCTTCTTCTTCTTCTTCTTCTTCTTCTTCTTCTTCTTCTTCTTCTTCTTCTTCTTTATATAGTCCAAGGAATTGATAGCATTAGATATTTTCCCCAAGTACCATATGCTGGAATTTGATCATCAGAATTAAGTTATATAGAACATTTCCCAGGACTTAAGAATCTACTTGGTATTTGTAGTGAACTTTGATTTCCTTTTTTAAGGATTTTAATTAATCCCCAAATAGAAAAGTCAATTTAAACATAAAAGTTAAAATCATGGAGTAATAGATATAATTTACATCCTTTGTCAGTAATGAATTGCTCCCTATAGCAGTTTTCTGGGGTTTTTTTTTCCCATAGTTTTAATTACATACATTTTTCTTCCTGACTAGCAGAGCTTCTAACATTATCCTTGGCAGTCTTTTTGGCGCTCAGAATTGTGTGCATTTCCCAAGATTCAATCCAAGTTTTCTTACTTTTTATTCTCATTAATATTACTTAAATATTAACAATATCCTATAATAATTAACAAGAGATTAACTTCAATCTCTTTACAATAAATTTTACTGTACTTTACTATCCCCAAAGTACAATCAACTTTTGGTTTATTTTGATCACTGCCATCAAATACTGGTTTATTTAACCAATGTACTCCATAGATTATTTTCCTGCAAAATATTCAAGTTACCCTGTCTCTTCCAGCTCATCATGTTTTTTTTTTTAACATTTAATTTAGTCTATAATTTAAAATAAACAATGATAATGAAAAGGTCTCTATGTTACAGTTTTTTTAATATAGGGGGTACAAATGATCACAATATGCTTTATTATCTCACCACTGCAATACTTTTATGAAAGAGTTTTAGACGCACTATTATACAAGCAAGTCATTTCTTATTATGACACATCAATTCAGTAGTAGAATTCAAATTAGTACTCCCATAGGATTCAGTTGCTTTTGAATTATGAAAGATTGGGGTACAATGTCAGGCTTGGTTTTTCACAAAATTTCTGTCCTTAGGGCTACTGAATCTCAATTTCACATTCATGTTCTTTCTACTAGACTATATAACAGCAATTAAAAGGCATGAAATATGACACTAGCTCCAATGGAAACTCAGGTATGGTCATCATCTTGGTTTTGTTTTATCGTGTTGTGTTGTGATTTTGTTTCACTTCATATATAAGCAATGGGCCAAATTTGTATGATGTTCCTTTTCATAAACTTTATAAAGATCAAGTCAACTGATACATATGGCTCCTTTAGTGCTGTTTCTTTTTTTAAAGTTTATTTATTTATTTTGAGAGTGAGAGAGAAAGGGAGAGAGAGAACACAAGTGAGCAGGGGAGGGGCAGAGAAAGAGGGAGAGAGAGAATCCAAAGCAGGCTCTGCACTGTCAGCACAGAGCCTGATACAGGGCTCAAACTCACAAACCATGAGATCATGACCTGAGCCAAAACTAAGAGTTGGACGTTTAACCTAGTGAGCCATCCAGGCACCCCTTTACTTCTGTTTCTTAAATACATGTTTCTTAACTTGACTACACAAAGCTCTAATTATATTAAAATCAGAATTTGTTATGCAATCACAAAAGCAAACAGGTTATTTTTTGTTGTTGCATTAATTCCTTCCAAAAATATTTGTTTAGTATTACTAAACTGTAGATACCTTGGCAAGCAGTGTGATAGGAATAAGACTAATGAGACATTGTCCTTGTTCTCCAGGTGATTATAGAGTTGAAGTGGGAGAAGGATGGTGCATGAGGGAAGAAACAACCCAAGGATTATGCATTAGTGCAGTACTATACACTGATAAGGACTAATGTAAGTGGAAGCACAGAATATAAATGGTGAGTCTCTACTTTAGAAAGGGGATCAGGAAAGGCTTCCACAAGCAGGTGATTGATGGCTGAGTTGAATCTCAATGAAGCAGAGATGGTAGGCAGACAAAAGAGGATGGGGAGAAGAAAAATACAGACTGCATAAAGTTCATAATGGCTACAGTGCAGAGTATGTGAGGTAGTGGTAGGTACAAGCCATGAGATATTACAAGTTGCAGGGTCCAAATGATAAAGGGTTCTAATGCCATGTTAAGGAATTTGACTTTAGCTTGAATATTTTAAGGAACCACTGAATGATTTCTAAGCAAGAGGATTTGATTTCATGGTTGGGCGTGCATCTTAATAAACTCATTTTAGCAGTTTAGAAAATGGATTGGTCAGGGCTGGATTAGAGGAAGAGAGACTAATTAGGAAGACATTAAAGAGTTCCAGCCAAGACAAAGTGAGGTCCTGAGGTAAAGCAGTGACAACAGTGTTGGAGATAGCAGATGTTTTTAGGAGATGCTAATGAGGTTAGCTCTTTAGGTCTTGGCATCTGATTGGATGTGAAGGTTGATTTTAAGGAAGAAGTCTAGGGCGACTCACAGATTTCTGCTTGGGTAAATGCTGGAAGATAAGTTTGTGTGTGTGTCTGTGTGTGTGTGAGAAACAGAAATATACTAAGCCAGAAGTATACAAGATGCAAGATATACTATTGGGATTCAGTATAGACTGCTTAATATGTGGTTATGCAAATCTACATGAAATTTCCCTTTCTTTCTTTGAGCAGAATGCTATAATCTCACTGTAACATGGCTTCAAATAAAATAAATGGAGGGAGGGAGACAGGTGAATGGAAATTCCAAAGGGAAGGAACCATGGATCCGTGATCATCTAACTGCATTATTATTTGCTTCTTCAGAGCTGTCTATTGGTTATTATTAGCCAGCTTAAGGAAAAGTCATTGGGGGAGTTATTACCCAAAGCTCTCTGAGTATCTGAGATGATGAAAAATGAGAATCATTATATGTTAGTCATGCTTTAAGAATGGGATTATAAAACTCTGGCCTGTGGCCCCAATCTGACTTGCCTCTTGTTTCTGAAAATAAAGTTTTATTGGGACACGGCTATGTCCATTCATTAATTTATTGTCTATGGCTGTTCTCATGCTACAATGGCAGTGTTGAGAAGTTGTGACAGAGGCCAGAGTATTCACAACTCTTAAAATATTTACCATCTTGTCCTTTAGAGAAAACATTCATTGTTCTAAAGGATCATTTTGCACATCATTTTAGTGGTCAACAAAACCTTAAGTATAGCTTCCCAATTGTTTCCAAGCCTATGTGCATTTAGGTTGGGGGCATGTAACTAATTCTGACCAAATGACTATTAGTCTCTATCTCTCTTTTACTCTCCAGAAGATGTAGCTCTAAGATGGAGGGTCATTCACCTCACACTGGGTTTTAAGAGAAGTTGAAATAAATTTCCTTTAGGTTAAACTGCTGAGATTCTGGGTTTGTGTGTTGTGGCGGCTAGCATTACTTACCCTAACTAGCACAATGCAGTGGCTCAGAGAGGTTAAATAATTTATGCAAGATTACATAAGTAGTTAGCAGGAGGGCTTAGATTAGAAGGAGGTTTCATGTGTTCAAATCTAGAGACAATTGGATGGTGCCTCAAAGCACAAAAGACAGAGGTGGGATTAAAAAGACATCTATGTGGAAAATGAAATAACAGCAATGGGAAAAAAGAGTAAAAAGATGGTAGCACTATTAGAAACGGAGATTAAAGAGGATGAGACTAGAATATTCACACAAACTTAGATTTTAATACATTCCATTTTTCTAACTATTCTGATGGAATCTTGCTAAGCCATAACAGTACAAAAGAAAAGTGTTTTCACAAATTCACTGAAATTACAAATAAAATTTGCCAAGTTTCAATGTGTAAAATGAGTTTCACTTGTGTTCCCTATGGCTACTCCTCTAAAACATCGTCCCCATGTGGTCCAACACTTGTATCTCTACTTTCCAAAGGACTTGCTCCCACACATATTTACTTAACCAGAGCCAGCAAAGTACAGATCATGGGCCAAATCCAGGCTTCTATTTTTGTAAAGCCTGTGAGCTAAGGATGGCTTTTATATGTTTTTAATGGTTGAAAAAAACAACAAAAATAACATTAGTGACAGGTGAAAATTATATGAAGCTCAAATTTCAGGGTCTATAAATAAAGTTTTACTGGAACATATGAATGGCACACCCATTCATTTACATGTGGTCTATGGCTGTTTTCACACTATCATAGCAAGTTGAGTAGTTACAACAGAGATTTATGACCCACAAAGCCTGAACAATTTTATACTCTTTAACAGAAAAAGTTAGTGACCCCTTCTATAGACTGATTAGGAGATGTCTCTGAGGAGGTGAAATGGAACAGCTCCATAAATGACTGAAATAGTCACAGCCAGCTCCATAGAGTTGCTGGAAACAGTGGCAACATGAGCGATGC